TAGGGGGGAAGAGGAAATAGAAGAACAAACGTAAGAAGAAGAAGAAGAAGAAGAAGAAGAAGAGACGGAGGAAGTAGGCGCGCGAGTTTAGTGATAGGAGCCGTAGCGAAAGCCAGAAAGTGATGCTCGGTATTCGTATAGCGCATCAGACAGGCACATACCCCGAAGCCATGTAATTCATTACTAAAGCAATCTCACCCTGCCCTATCTCTGCCCCTCTCCTGAACCCTATCCAGCCCTGCACACCCTCTCCTGACTTCGGGTGCGCGCGCGTTATAATATAAAAAAGAAAAAAAAGAGAGAGAGAGAGAGAGAAAAAAGAAGGAAGAACCAGCCGGATGAGGAAGGAGAAGGGCCCGAATAGAATAGCGCCCCTGACGACAAAACAAAATGAAACACAAAGCCGTGTTTTCATAATTAAAAAGATTGCATGCACTGAGTACAGTTCTCTCTTGCTTTCGCTTTTTCTCTCGTTGGCGTTCTATGCTCGCCTCCTGTACGGAGCCTTTCTGTTCGCTACGCTGTATTCCTCTTTTTCCCTTTCCATCTGATTTTCTCTGTGATTGTCCGCCGAGTCTTTCTTTCTGGACGACGCTCTCTCTCTCTCTCTCTCTCTCACTCTCTCTCTACCCTTTTCTCACTCTCTCTTATTCCGGCTCCTCTTTTTATATTCTCGCTACTTTAATGATCCGAATACTAGCGAAATATTTTTATATCAATCTCATTATGACTATACATTTTATTAATTGTTTCTGTTCCGATTAGTGGCAATTTGTTTGTGTGATATTAAAAGTTTTAGTATTAGTTTTCAGTTAATAGCGGTCGTTTACTTCATGGATAATATATGTCCGACCCTTTCAATTAAATGTAATTCCATTTTATGAAATTATGGATCATCTCGTTCTATTCACGAATATAATGTGCTGGAATTATTACGTTGTCACGTTTTTCTTCGTTTCGGCAGATTGTAAAGATATTTACGATTAAATGTACCTGCATGTAAACGCGGAGCAACGAATACGAAAATGGAAGAGAGAAGTTTGAAGAGGAATTATCAAAACTCGTGTATTTATTACTCTCTCTTTGATCTACGTTTTTTGTTTTTCATCTTTTGCAGTTACGAGAGACTTGATGAAAATGCAGCCTATTATTGTGTAATGTATGTTAATTACGATATTGATTTCGATGTGTCCGCTTATCATTTGTTTAGTCTTCGCAAAGATACATGACAAATATATAAATACTATATGAATTTCTATTACACATGTGTATAAAAAATTGTACACAATTGTTTTTTAATCATTATTTAATCAAGTAATTGATTGAATGTAACATAAATATAATATATACTATAATAAATAAAAATATAGTGTATATTATTATTACATAAAAAATTATATTTAATTAATTATTTTTCTTTATATGAAATTTTGCTGTGTGCCAGTTAGCTAAAAATTGTACACAATTGTTTTTTAATCGTTATTTAATCAAGTAATTGATTGAATGTAACATAAATATAATATATACAATAATAAATAAAAATATAGTGTATATTATTATTACATAAAAAATTATATTTCATCAATTATTTTTCTTTATATGAAATTTTGCTGTGTGCCAGTTAGCTAAAAAACGCAATGAGAAAAGTGTTCTTCCATTATTAAATTCGTTTGCGAAATACAATTGCTAACCCTGAATATTGCAAACGTTAGTTGTTACAAATTATTATTATAAAAATAAAATATTTTCGTAATTAGTGCAACAGATATTCTCCCTGAAAATAATAAATCCTTCCTCTTCAGGCTTAATGATGATGATGATGAGTGAAAACACGCATTCTATTCTAGTTCGATAACATAAAACAAAATGATTCTTTGCAAATAACAAGTGGTTTATCTTTTAAAATAGATCTATTTTAAATCAGATGTATTTCTTTCTTTTTTAAAACTTAAGGAATCGTTATTTGATTAATCCTGAATAATATAACTAATCCTCAAGTGGTATCGTGCAGTCATAGATGATTGTAATAATTTGTATTACATTAACAAAATTTAAGATATTTAATTTTATTTTTATATATTCTCTAGATAGAGATTAGTAATAAAATTAAGTCAAATTAAAAATTTCGAGATTAAGAAATGTAGAATTTAAATTCTCATGGCTTTCAATATACAATAATATCAGTTAAGGGTTAATCTTTCCTCATAATTTAACATAAACGTATTGATACTTCAATACGAATAGTTAATAATAAATAAGAATTATGTGTTGCGGTAGTAAAATTGGATTTTCAATTT